GTGGGAGGAGCCACTGCAGGTGGGGGCCGGGGGTGGTGGTGGTCCTGCAGCAGGTGACCTGCAGAAAGCACCCAGGCCTGGGCTTCCCACAGCTGGCTCAGGGCCTGGTGTCCTGGCAGATCTCCTCGCTGTTCCTCTGCCTGGTGATGGAGTACAGCAAAGGAAGCTTCCAGAAGGTCATTGAGAAAAAGAGGAAGGCCAAGGCGGTTATTGACTCGGAGGTAAGACCAGTCCTCTGGGACATCGGGCCTGGGCCACCTAGACCTGAGAACCCACAGGCCCTAGCAGGGGCTCTCGCACCCGTGTCCTCAAGGTGCTGTGGTGGTACATGCACAGCCGCCAGTGCAGTGAGGGGCACTCAGCTCTGCCCAGGGCGAGGCAGGGGTCAGCCCTAACACTCAGAAACTTCCGAGTCAGTAACAGGACCTGACCCCACTCGAGAGACTGCCCCGCCGGCTCCTGAGGTTCACACGAAGCAACACAACCAGTCCTCGTCCACGCCTGGTTCGTTTGGTTCAGCTGACGCTCCTGGGATCCTGAACACTGTGGAGGCGCCGGGGCGTCCTGTTTCCTTGCCAGCCACCCCCAGCTGCTCGGCTCCAGCAGTCTGCCGTCCGGTGCAGGTGCCGGGAGATGGGCGGGCCGCTTCCAGTGCCTCGCTGGGAAGCGGCACTTTGCTCGGGGTGGGATCACCGGGCCAAGAGTAGGTGTGTGTACAGCTTCAGTGCGTGTCCGGCAGCTCTCAGGGTGACCTGGGCTGTGTGAGGGCCTGTCCCACAGCGGGGCCAGCACCTCAGTGTGTCAGTCCAGCAGGGCTAGCTGTTCTGGGGAAGGTGGCAATTACAGGAGCAGATCTCATTACAGTTCTACTTTTTGGGGGAGGTTTCTTGTCTTAGGGTGTACATGCTTGCCAGGGAGAGAGAGTGACAGGCGCAGTGAGAGTACAAGTGAGAAATCACCCCCAAGGGGATGGCCATCCCTTCTCCTCCTGGGGTCTCGGGCATGCACCCACACGTGCCTGGCGTGATTTTCAAGCCACCGGGTCTGGGACTCGAGCCACAGTTGGCCATATGGGAGCCCAGTGACGTACCACTACGCCATCTGCTGTTCCTATAGCTGTGCTATAATTCCCTGCCTCTGATCATGGAGCGCACTGTGGCCACTGGCCTTTCTTCCTTCGCCCCTGTCGGGGTTTGTCCGTTTGGGCTCTGGGTTGTCTTTCTGATCTATAGGGTCTTCGTATATTCTGAACGTGTGTCCAGTGCCTTCTCCTAGGCGGTGGCTTGCTGATTCACTTTCTTAATGAGGACTTTTGATGAATGGAAGGTCTAAATTGTAATGAAGTCCAGTTTAAGAGAGAGAGAGACAGAGAAAGGGACAGAGAGAAAGCGAGAAAGCACGCCCCTGAGGGGATGGCCACACCACAGTCCCTTCTCCTCGATGCTCCTCTGGGGATCCTGGCACACACACACCATGCCCGGGGCATTTTCCCAACCACATGGCCAGCCATGTGGGACCTGTCTGCCGTAACCTCCACGCCCTGGCTGGCCGTGTGAATGTTTTCTTCCATGGTTAGTGAATTCTGAGTCCTGTTTAAGAAGCCTTTCCTGCCCCAAGGTCATGCTTCCTTCTGCAAGCTTGGTCATTTCTCCATTCACATCTGGGCCTGCTTTTACTCGGAGGATCCCTCTGCCCTCTGAGCGCCATCTCCCCCTAGAGGTCCCTAAGGGCACCTGGCTCCTCTCTCTTTTTAAAAAAATATTTAATTTAATTTTATTTATAATCATTTTTATTATTATTTAATTTGACCAGAGAGAGAGAGAGAGAGAGAGAGAGAGAGAGAGAGAGAAAGTGAAAAAACAAGCCACCAGGTCTGGGACTCGCACTGTGTTTGACTGTGTGGGAGTCCAGTGCCTTAACCACTACGCTACCTGCTGCCCACCCCCTCTTTTTTTTGGAGAGATTTTCACTGTAGGGCGCGTGTGCTCGCCAGACAGAGAGAGACACACCACCCCCTCTTAACATAGGCTCAGAGGCAGGCTCTGGGGCAGGTTTTTAACTTTCTGCTAACAATGGAACCCTTTCAAGCCCAAAGTGTCCCTCATCAGAAGTGAGGCAGCACACCCTGCTGGGGCAGTGGGAGGGAGCCGAGCCCCGCTGATGGCCCAGCTGACTCTGAAGCACCTGTGTGGAGCCCAGGGACCTAGGAATATGGCTGGAACCTCACTGCCCTGGATGCTACCTGGATCTTGCTTCTGACATAGGATGCTTCCAGAACATTCAGGGCTCTTCCCTTTCTAATACAATCAAGGAGCAAGTGGGCACTGCGGCCTCTGCATCTCTGATACCCACAAGGCCGATCTGCTCTGAGCCCCCAGCAGGTGTTGGGTGGAGTTAGTCATGGAGTGACCTCAGGGGCAGGGAAGGGGCTGGAGCCGAGCAGTGTGGGAACAGAAGTGACCATCCGGCACGAGGGCGCTCCTCTGTGACACGGAGCCACATATGCTCCTGCACTCAGCTTGCTTCACACACATCTCTGGACGCAAGGGGAGACTTCCTGCTGTGCCACCAGTTGCTCTGGTTGCCCGCCTGCTGAAAAGCAGCCGTGGGGCCCTGCCAGGAGCTTCCGAGCCCCCCTGCCCACCACAGTGTCTCTGCTTCCTCCTCAGTGGCTGCAGAACGTGCTGGGCCAGGTGCTGGACGCACTGGAGTACCTGCACCAGCTGGGTGTCATTCACAGGTACGGCGCCCCGGGACTGCTGCTGCTTCAGGAGACAAGCACACTGAACCCACCGGGTGTCCATGCAGTGGGGAGGCCTGGAGAGGGGGGCAGGGGCAGGCCAGCGAGGCCAGGCCAGGATGGTGCGTTCCAGAGCCCCTCCTGGGCTCAGGGAGTATGGCCCCTCCTCTACATGGTTTCCAGGTCCTCCGCGCCACGCACAGCCCAGCCGCTGGTTCTAAAGTGCAAGGAGGGGGCAGCGCTCCAGAGATAAGCCCACGTCCAGGAAGGTGATTAGGAGCCAGTCTTGGTGTGGCCAGGCTGGGCCTTTGACCTGCCACAGGCAGGTGCAGGCTCCTGTGGTTTGAAGCAGCTAGGAAATGACTTCACTTCTGAACACATCTTATTTATTTATTTATTTTTATTTGACCAGAGAGGGTCAGAGGAAGAGAGAGAGGGAGAGTGAGAAAGCAAGCTGCCAGGTCCAGGACTTGAACCGCAGTCTGCCATGTGGGAGTCCAACCCCTTAACCACCATGCCACCTGCCAGCCCCCCCAAACACCAGTTATCTTATTTAAAAGGGGGAGAAAAGAGCCAGGTAGACCTTTGCTCCAATTCAAAGCCAGTGTCACTGGCCATCACCGAATGGTCAAAAGCTATCCCCACACAGTGTGGGGCTCAGTGCCGGGAGGCGAGGGTGCTGTGAGCAGAGCCACCTCAGACTGGTTGGGGCACTCCCACTTGTTTACTCCCCCAGTTCAGAAAACCGAGTGCAGCTGATGATTATAGGAAGAAGTTAATTTGAAGACTGGGCTGCGCAGGGGCATCAGCTGGGGAGGGGTTGGTGAGAGGCTGCTGCAGACCAGGTGTGGCGGGCATGGCCAGGCGGGCAGCTAGAGGAGTGCCCCTCGGTTTCAGGAACCTCAAGCCCTCCAACATCGCCCTTGTCAGCAAAAACCACTGCAAGCTGCAGGACCTGAGCTGCAACTCGCTGATGACAGACACAGCCAAGTGGAAAGTTCGGGCTGAGGAAGGTGGCCAGGCGCTCCCGGGTTGTGGGTGGGGCAGCGGGGTGCAGCTGGGGGCGGGGCGTCGCTGGAGGGCAGACTGGATGCTGAACATGCCCCTGAGAAACTGCTCCTTGCTCAGAGGTCCCCGTTGGTTCCCCCGACCTGAGTGGGCTCCAAACAACCCCTCTTGCCTGCGCTGTGCTGAGCGGGCGCACCGCCGTGGGGGTGGGTGCAGGATTCGGAAGACACCAGCATTCGAAAGTGAAAGCCCGAAGAGCACAGTGATGGCTGTGGTTCCCCAGAAAATGTGAACCCCCATGGGGGAAAGAAGGGTGAGAAGAAAGAAAACTGCAGTGTACGAGAGGCCGGTCTGTGGGTGCCACACGCTGGCCATGCCTGAAGCACCTCACTGAGTCCTGGAACCACTCGGGAGAGGGCAGGGCTGGGGAAGGGGAGATGACCGGGCCAAGCATGGTCTGCCCCTGGGTCCTGATGTTCAGTGGGGCGAGGTGCTTACAGGGGTGCCAATATCGGCCTTCCTGGCACCTGCGCTGCAGCCGTCAGGGGTCGTGGGCACCTACCGAGATGGACAACCCCACCAGCTAATCAAGGCAAACATGGTGCTGGCCAGGGGCTGAGAAGGGCGCTGAGGGCTTGTGCTCCAAGCTGCTTGCAAGGGGACATCTAAAAGGGTACAGTACTGGGGCAGGGGCCTCTGTCAGACCCCTACTCCTGGGGAGGACAGGACTCAACACTCCTCACCTCGCTCCTGCCAACAGACCCTCTTCACAAGTCCTGGATGGCCCCCGAGGCCCTGGACTTCTCCTTCAGCCAGAAATCTGACATCTGGTCGCTGGGCTGCATCATCCTCGACATGGTCACCTGCTCCTTCATGGACGTGAGCGCTTCCCCGCCCTCCCAGCTCTGTGTGGCCCCAGGGAGTGGGCCCTGCCCGGGCCTGGGGAGAAGGCTGGCCTCACTCTGCCCCACATCGAAGCCCTCCCCTTTGCCCTCCATTTGCCTGCACCCCACACCTGCCGGGCTCCAGCTGGTGTGGTGACAATGACCGCAGTGGAATGATGAAGCCAGGCGTCGTCCCTGTCCCTGGTGACTTGGAGCCCAAGTTCAGGCACCCCTGTTTGAGTTCAGTATGTGAATAGCCGCAAGCGATAGGAACGGGCCAGAACACAGCCGAGCTGTTTGTCACCTCTGTCCCTGAATGTTGGGTCTGTGGGTACGACTCCTATCCTTGCTGGAGGCCCCGTCACGGCCTATGGGCACTGAGGAGGGGAGTCCCACAGGCCACGCCAGTCCCTTGGGTGGGAAGCTTTGCAGGCACTGGCTGCAGGGAGGCTGGGAAGCCGAGCCTGGTCCTGTGACCTCTGCACAGAGGAGACAGCAGGCAGGAGGGAGCCTGTCAGGCCCTGGTGCCTGCTGTGCCCCATGAGCAAGGAAGCCCCCAGCTCCACATCCAGGCATTAAGGGCTCCAGGAAAAACAGGTGCCTGGCTGGGCCCCGGCGTCACCACCTCTGCCAGACTGTCCTCCGCCATCTGCCCCCAGACTCCACCCCTCCACCTTTGGGAGACCCCTAGGGAAGTGGAGGCCTTCCCGCTTTGGGGGACTGTGGCCCTAGCCCCAGCCTTGGAGGTGTGTGACCTTCCTGTTAGGTGGGCATGCTTATCCTCTTAACACTGGGTCCTGACCAGGGACTCAGTGGCAGGATTGCATGAGAGGTGTCTCCCACTCCTCCACCCAGCCCTGGCTCTTCAAACCTTCATCTGCACAGAAGCGCCCACGGCCTCTGGGCCGTCCTGAAGTTGGCCACTGCATCTGGCTTGCCTCGTCCCCAGCACACCTTCTGCCCAGGGCCAGGGCCAACTTTTGCCCCAGTTGAGGACTTGCACAGAGCAGTGTCCTCCACTCCTCCCAGGAAACAGAAGCCATGCATCTGCGGAAGTCCCTGCGCCAGCACCCGGGCAGCCTGAAGGGCGTCCTGAAGACAGTGGAGGAGAAGAAGGTCCCGGACGCTGACACCTTCACTTCACTTCTGCCGTGGATGCTGCAGGTCAACCCCTCGGACAGGATATCCATAAGGTGAGCGGAGGGTCCAGGTCTGCTTCAACACCCTCGACTCAGCCTTCTGCGTCCTCCCCCTTCACGCGAACACGACCATGCTGTAGCACAGGAAGAACCCCACTGTGATCCCTGCTCCTCCGCACAGCTGGGCTCCTCTGCATTTTTGTCTACCCCAAACTGCTCAGCAGAGATGTGTCCCCACACACATCTCTGAGCCTCGGAGCAAACGGTCCGACCACCCCATCGGGCACTGGGGGTGAGGCCTCCGAACCTACCACTTTTAGAGGTCCAGGAAAAAGCTTCCATTCTAATTGGTCTTAAAAACCAGAAGAAAATGGTCAGCAGGTGGCGTGGAGGTTAAGGCAGCTGGATCCTACATGGCTGGCTGCATGGTTCAAGTCCTGGACCCGGTGACTTGGAAAACACACCCAGCACACGTGCGTGCATGCCCACAACATCCAAGAGAAGATTGAAGGAGATTGTGGCATGGCCTTCCCCCTGGGGGGTGATTTCTCACATTCTCTCTCTCTGGTGAGTACACATACCCTATAGCAAGCTAAAATCAGTCAATCAGAAGAAAAAAACACATCTGTAAGGGTGAACCCAGCCTGGGTAATATTCCTCTTTACACCAACACAGTGGCAAAAATCTGACTTCTATATGTTCATGGGGGAGGCGCCCGAGAAGGTAAACATGCCAGCCCGTCCCTGGAAGTGGGATTGCTGGGCCCTTACCGGGCATGCTGGGACAGTGGAAGAGAACGCCTGAGCTGAGCCCAGGCCGAGGAGGGCTGCTAGGCTACCCCGCCCATCCCTGCTCCTCGCTAGGGATGTGATCCGTGCCACCTTCGTGAGCGGCTCCTTCAAGTCCTCGTGCGTCGCTCTGACTCTGCACCAGCAGGTGGTGCCCGTGTCCATCACCGACATGCTGTTGCAAAACAACGTGGCCAGCATTCTAGGTGAGGGGCGCGTGGCGACGGGGCACGAGCTGCAGAGGGCTGTGCCCCCATCACCCAGCCCCACTGTCCTCGCTCCTCATGCCTGACCAGGGACAGCAAGCCCCCAGGCTCTCCTCTCAAGCAGTACAGTTTGGCCCAGGTGTTGCCCTCCTCAGAGACCCGCCGTAGCTCTCAGTGACCCCTGGCACGAGGGTCGTCTCTGTAGCCTGGCCCCCTGGCCCCCACCTATTTCCCTTCGGGGGGGAGAGTGCCCCCCAGTGCCCTGGCTGCTGAGCCGCCCTGCTTGTCACGCAGTGCCCTTCTCACACAGAAGCTCTTCCTGTGTGCTTCCTATCAGGGGCAAGGGACTTCAGAGCAGACTTGGGCTTGATCTTGGGGTCACTGAGCCTCACCGGCCTCATCTGTACAGAGGGGAGGGTCAGAGCCCCTACCTCGTGGCCTGGTCACATGGCTCCCAGGGGGACACACATCAGCAGTCAGGCCCATGTGGCACCAGAGACGGTGCCCACTGGCCTGGCCTTCGAAGCTCCCTCTCTGCTCTCCTATGCCTTGCAGAGGTCATGCAGAACTTCTTGCGCCGACCCGAAGTTCAGCTCAGGGCCATCAAGAGACTTCTGACAGTTCCTGAGGACCAGCTAGGTAGACACCGGCCCATGCCACCCTCGTGGCTTCCCTCGGCACAGTGGCCGCAGCCCAGGACTTGACGGAGCTGTGGCTGACCCCCTCCAGGCATCCCTCACCCCAGTGGCTCACTTCACCTTGGGGGCTTGTCCCTGTGCCCACAGGGATCCCTGACTTTACTCCCTGATGGGAACTGGACTGCCTGGGGCTCCACTGGGCCACCCCTTACAGAGTAGGGGACGGGGTGGCTGACCTCACACGTGATTTCAGCTGGTCCGTAAGGAGATAGCCCATTCTGGATCATCACTGGACTCCCACATGGTCGACTGTGTTCGAGTCCCGGACCAGGTGGCTTAAAACTCTCTCCAGGCACATGTGCATGCGTGCCCAGAAGGAGAATGGAGAAGGGATTGCGGCATGGCCACCCCCCCGGGTCTGTCTCTCTCTGTCTCTCTGGGCAAGTACACACACCCTATAGCAAAACTCTCTCTCAAAAAAAAAAAAAAAAAGACCTCATCCAGTCTGCCAGCCCTGTGATGGGAACGGGCTGGGCTCAAACGCTCCCCTGGTGCCAGAGCAGGCGTGTCTGTAGGGCGGGCGCCAAGACTTCGGGTGCAGCGCCATGTGTCCTTAGACTGCACACTGCCCTGGGTGGACACACCGACCTGCCTGCCTGCTGATGTGTGAAGACACCTTCCCCAGCACCCCTCGAAGGGGCAGTGATCCCCTTTAGATTTCAGAAACACCTCTGTCCAGATGTGCCTTCGTGAAGTCTGCACTCCCTGCCTCACGTGCCTGAGTGTTGCAATCACACCCTCAACCCACCCATTCACCCTCATCCGTGTGTTTGTCTGTCCATCTGTCCTGTCCGGCCCAACTCACGTACTTAGAACCCACTGAGTTCAGTCCCCATGGCTGTGGCATCAGGGATCAGAGAGGCCCACCCTGGCCCCAGTAGGGCAGCAGAGGCCTATAGGTCGGCCACTTGTCCGCCCCTGCTCTCCTTGACCTGCTGTGGCCAAACTGTGGGAGGAAATTCCACCTTCCTGGGGAAACTGAGGGGACCTGGCAGGTGCCTTTCCAGAGGGCGTGTCCCCCCTCCCCCATCCCTCCCAGCCACACCTGCCCTAGGAAGCCTTGTTAGTCTGGCTGTTTGTTATGTATTTACGTTATGGCCTGGCCTTCTGGGCGCCAGCGGGAATGGGGAGGGAGGGGCAGCTGGGCCAGCCCTCGCTGCCTTGCCCTGCCCCTCGCCCCATCCTGGCACACGGTGCAAACCCTGGCACAGGGGTGGGGAGAGCAGCATCCACTCCCAGGGCTGGTGCAGCCAGGCTTGGGGATGGAGAGGCGACTCCAGGTTGCTGCCCAAGGGACGAATGCCCCAGCTTGCTGACCTCAGCTTTCTCTGCAGCTGAGGGTGGTGGCAGGAGGGGCCTGTCTTGCAGGGCAGGTGTGCAGCGAGAGCTCAGGCTCTGGCCAATCCCCGGGCTCCCTCCTGTGACCTCTGGTCCCAGCCTGCTCCGCGCTCTCGCCTGCCCCACCTCCTCCAGGTCTGCCGTGGCCCCCGGAGCTGCTGGAGGTGGTAATCACTGTCATGAACCAGCACATGCGGACCCTCGACATACAGATGTGTGCCTGCTCCCTGCTGCTGCGCGTCCTGGGCCAAGGTGGCGCCCCACACCAGTCACCCTGGGCATCTGACCCCTGGGCAGGCCAGGACTTGGAGATGGCGCAGTGCTCGGGGCTGCTTCTGACCTGCTCTTTGGGCAAGCTCTCTCCAGTTTCCATCTGGGAGACGAGCTGGACATGGGGCCTCTGGTGTGACCCCCCCAGGGAGGCTGGCTGTGTCCCCAGGGGAGGGCTACGGATGAGGCAGTGTGGTGGCAGCACCAGGCTTGTTGCCTGGTGGAAGAGATGGAAGCAGAGCAGGGCCTGGGTTCCTACCAGCCTTCTGTCTGAAAGAAGGCTTCATGATTTTTTTGTTTGTTTTGAGGTTTTGCTATAAGGCGCGTGCGCTTGCCAGAAAGACAGAGAGAGATGGAGAGACAGAAAGCGAGAAATCACCCCCCGGGGAGATGGCCACACTGCAATCCCTTCTCCATTCTCCTCTCGGGATCTTGGGCATGCATGCACACATGCCCAGCGTGAGTTTAAGCCACTGGGTCTGGGACTCGAACCGCAGTCGACTACGTGGGAGTCCAGCAACGTAGCCATTACGCCAACTGCTGGTCCCCAGTGATTTGGGTTTTAAAGGCAAAGGTGTGAGGTTACCTTTCTAGTTTGGGTGCTGTTTTCACACCTGCGTGAGGTTAAGGCGTACCTGGGCACAGCTCCTGGCACCTGCACCCTGCAGGCGTGGAGCACAGCACTGGCCCCGTGGGGCACCCCAGCAGTGCCCGAGGTAGGAGCTCCGAGCTGGAAGGGGCCGTGTAGGAGAGCAGCAGCCGAGTCTCCTGGTGCAGGGTGGAGATGGGAGGCAGGACACCAGGGCGCCCTGGATGTCAGCCCCCGTCTCCAGCTTGGGGCCGACCTGGCTTCTCCCTGGCCCGAGCAGCACTGGCGCAGAACCCAGATGCCGAGGTGCCGTGCAACAGCCGTGTCCTCACCACTCTGCTGAGTGCCACGCAGAGCCACCCCGAGGTGGAACCGCTGGTCGTTGTGGTGTCCAGCCTGCTCACCATCATCTCCAGCCAGGGTGCGCCCACCACCCGCATCCCGCCCTGCTCGCTCCTCGCGCCCAGGCAGCCCAGGGAGGGTGTGCCGCCCCAGCACCTTGGGGGCTGTGGGTTTTCTCTGGGTGATGAGCTTCCATTTTCAGTCATGGGCTTCACACCCCTGCCCTGCCGCGGAGGCTGGGGGGCAAATGGCCTGCTGTTTCCACTGCCCCGAGCAGGCTGGGCCTGAGGCCGCCAGCCTGATGGGCAGCGGACAGCCTGCCTGAGGCCTGTGTGGCCGAGAGGGTGGGTGCCGAAGGTGACCGGGGCCAGCCTCCCCTTTACACTCCTTCCAACCCACTAGTCAGGTCTGCGTCACCCCCACACCAGGATGGCACTGGGCAGGCTAGGCAGCTGGGCACGCACCAGTGACCCCACTGGGAGGGCGGGTCATAGGATGCATGTGCTAGAACCTCGGGCAACCTGTGTCAGCCCGCCTGCAGGGAAAGGACACAGTCGTCCCCTCATAGAAGGCACAGGCCTGCTCTGGGGGGCCCCAGGAGGCGGGGCCGGACCCAGCTGATAATGGGGTGGGAGAGGGAGACTCCCCAGGCCAGGCCCATGTCCTCATGTCCGGGTTCCATGTGGACATGAGACCTGCTCCGAGTGGGCACCCAAGTCAAACCGACTGCAGTGCCAAGGTCAAGAGGAGGGAGGGAATGCTCCAGGAAGGAGCGTGGGGCTCTCTGTGGTCCTCATTCTGGGGCCCACCCACAGAGTCGGCTCTGGAGAGGCTGCAGGAGGCTGGGCTGTTCGAGCACATCCCGGAGTACCTAGCTCGCTTCCCTGACAACAGGGACATCTGCCTCAACGGCCTGGGCCTGCTCTGGGCCCTCCTGGTGGACGGTGAGGGCTCCTCCAGCTGCCACCACTTGTCTGAGCTCCCTCGGGCCACATCCTCAACGCTGCGGCCAGCCACGGGCAGGGGAGGCTCTTCTGAGGCCTGGAACTAAGCAGAGCAGGAGGGGTTGCCCCGGCTCCTGAAGTTGGCCTTTGTGCCAGGGCCCGCTCCCACTTGCCATCCTGGGTGGGGACCCAGAGGCTGTTCTGTCCTAGGAAGAAGGCCACAAACCATGGCAAGGAACCCCTGGGCCCTGGGGGCAGCCCTCTCACAGACATCTCATTGCCTCAGCAGTGGCCCTGCTGTCCTTGGTGGGAGGGAAGTAGGGCGGGGCATCCCGCAGGCCCTCCTGCACATGCCCAAGGCCCTTGTCCTGGTCATAGCCGTAGTTGTGAACAAGGCCCCCTTGGAGAAGATTCCGGCCCTCGTCATCCAGGTGCTGGCCACCTACCCCACAGACATGGAAGTGGCCGAAGCCGGCTGTGCAGTCTTCTGGCTGCTGTCCTTGTTGGGTAAGTGGCTGGGGACTCCAGGGATGGGGGGAGGTGGCCCCAGCCCCCACCCAGAGGCAGCGAGGCCCACTGCCCTCTCCAGGCTGTATACACGAGAGCCAGTTTGAACAAGTGGTGGCACTGCTCCTACGGAGCATCCGGCTATGCCAAGACCGTGTCTTGCTGGTGAGCAACGCCTACCGGGGCCTGGCCAGCCTCACAAAGGTGTCAGGTGAGCCTGGGAAGGGACAGGACAGCCCCCGGAGGTGGGGGCCAAAAGTAGCCACTGCAATGTTGCCAGCTGCCCACAAACCAAGACACAGAAGCAAGTCAGAAGGAATTCAAGCTGCTGTGCACTCCTCATTCAGAATTGCGGCCGACACCTCTAGGCTCCTGTGCTCCCTCCTCAGCTCCACTCCGACTGGGTCCTGTGCGGGCCTGTCACACCCTAACATACCCAGCAGCCCTAGAGCCGGACCTGTGTCCAGATCACCACCACGCACACCCCGACTGGCGCCACCAAGGCCCGATCCTCACTCGAGGCCTATGGACCAGCCAAAGCCCCTCATCACCTTATCCTATCTCTGCCCCCAGGGTCTCCCTCAGAGCAGTGCCCGCCCCTCGGCCTCATCTCTGCTCTTTTGGTGCTGTCCTGGCCATAGCCCTGTCTCCTCCTGCCCCAGCTAGGTCATGGGTGAAGGGTGTGGTATGGACCTTCCTTTCTGGACCTGTGCTGGGGGCCAGCTGTCTGCTCCCTGGTGGAGGCAGAGGCCCTGAAGGCCAAGAGGGGCCTGGCTCCACATCAGACCAAGTGGGCTGGCCCTGGAGTCAGCCTGAGTGAGGACCCGGGTTCTGCCCCGTGTGATGTCCAAGTGGCCTCTCCCCCAGCCTGCTGTCTTAAGGGGCGAGCCCTGACACTGCTCCCCCAGGCTCCAGGATGGTGAGGAGTAAGGGGTGCCCTGCTCCAAGGTATCCAAGAAGTCACAGCACACCCCCTGGTGTGAGGGCCTGCAGGGGGTCCCTCCAGCGGCAGCCAGGGCCTTGCTGTGTGGGCCCAGTGGGGATTCAGTCCCATGGGGAAGCAAGGCCAGCAGACCCTTCCCAGGGCAGGACAGAGAGCAGTCAGTTCTTCCACCAGGGCCCAAGGCTCCACGTCCCACGCACTTCAGTCTCAACCACCCTGATTCCGTACCACCACTGCATCCTAGAGGGCATGGCCACAGGGTTCCCATCTCCTATGAGACAGGACAGGTCCTCAGCCCGAGAAACTGGCCCAAGGCCAGCTCCGAGTGGCAGCACCAGGGCACAGGCCTGCTCTCGCCTGCCCCTGCCAGAGCTGGCGGCTTTCCGGGTGGTGCTTCCAGAGGAGGGCAGCAGCGGCCTTGCCCTCATCAAGGAGACCTGCGCACAGTACCAGGACGACCCAGAAGTGGTGGAGCACGTGTGCATGCTGCTGGTCCACCTCTCGTCCTACGGTGAGGCCCTGCAGCCCTGAGGTCTGTGCAGGCAGCCTGGCAGGGAGGCCACCTGAGCTAAGTCAGCAAGGTCAGCGGGCTGGCCAGGGTTCTGGGAGAGGCCTCGGTCTCAGGCCCTTGTCTGCTCTCCCAGAGGAGATACTGCCTGAGCTGCTGTCACAGGGCATCAGGTCGCTGGTCCAGGACATCAGGGGGCGCTTCACCTCCAGCGTGGTGAGTAGGAGTGCAGCCCAGACCAAGAGGCGTGCGTGGCCTTGACTCGCCTACTCCTGTCACTGGGACAAGCCATTGCTAAGGGTGGGGCCACCAGCCCTTTCCAAAGTTTCCTGTTCATGACCAAGGAGGTCACACAACAGCTGCCCGGGGCCCTGAAGGCATCCAACCAGTGACCTGCTCCTCCCTCCTTCCAGGAGCTGGTTTCTTACGCTGAGAAAGTGCTCCTGAGGCTGGAGGCCGCCACACCTCCCAGCCCCCAGGAATGGAAGCCGCCCAGCAGTGAGGCTAGGGAGGAAGCGGACGCCCCCAAGGGCTCCTTCCTGCACAGGTGCCTCCTGTCACCTCCCTGAATCTCCCACTCCTCATGCCACAGCTGAAATGGACAGTCCGTCCTCTGGGGTGGGGCATGGGAAGAAAGTCACCTGGGCCAATCCATGTGTCCCACTCGGGTGACTAATAAAGAGGCCCCAGGTCAGCAGCTGGACGTGCACTGCTTATCTTGGGGGAGGCGGTGTGGCCCTTGCTTCTGCGGTCGCCACTAAACATCACGATTGGCTGGGTCAGGTGGCAGCAGTCCAGACACTGGTCCTTCAGCCCACACCCCCAAGGGGAGGAGCCTGGGGCTCCGCAAGCTTCAAGTAGGTTCCCGCCACATGAAGCAGTGCTTTCGTCGCTGCCAGAGGCTCCCTGAACCTTCAGCTTTATTCACCTAATGCAGGGCCACCTGCCTGGTTCCCAGAAAGGGCGTGTAAGTTTGGCACTGCCGAAAACGCTCCCGGCTGACCCGGGATGCTCAGGGCTCATCTGGCCACTGGGTTAGCTGACTCGTGTGGCCCCGCCATGGCGTCAGCTGAACCCTAGCCCACCCTGGGCTCACTCGCCCACCCTCTGGAAGTCTCTCAGAACCCAGGTGGCCATAGGAGCCCATGCCGTCTCAGAAGCCGACCTGGACACCTGGGCCAGGCTCCTCGTGGAGACAGCTCCTAGGGTGAATCCCGTCAGGTTGGTGGCAACAACACAACACAAGCTGACAGTCCCGATGTCCCACCTCTGCTCTGATGCCCGCACAGCCTGCCTCCCTGCAACAGCCCTGCCCTGGGCCCCACACATACAACCACGGAGCAGTTTCAGGGGTGAACAGGCTGCACCCCTGCCACCATGGTCTTGAAAGTTTCCCAGAAGGGCTGCTTTGGGGAGATTCCACCTGTCCCTGCTTCAGTTCCAAAGGCCTCTGTGCCGAGTGCCGCCCCAGTCCAGTGGGAAGGGCAGCACCGGCTCAGTGTCCTGCTCACAGCTGTCGGGGGCAGTCACCGGGGGGTGCTGGTCTCTGTCTTCTCCCACTCCTTCTTCACGGTGATGTAAAGCCTCATGGCTGCCTGGGCGTCTTGAACCTGTAAGGCACAGAATGACACCAACGGCCCAAGTGACCAGCACCAAGGTAGCCCTGACTCCCCAAACGCCCTGGCCAGCCACCGCAAGGAAGGCATGGCTGAGTGAGTGGCAGACCTTGCTGTAAGCCGTGGTGGGCGGAGCGGGGAATCCGTGAGCAGCTGGCAGTCAGCCTGGGGAAGCCATGGCTTTCTAAGTGTGTCAGACAGCAAGCAGGGTGGACGTGAGCAGAGGGTGGGCTGGGAGGCTGGCACTGGGTGCAGGGCCGAGGTGACTGGTAGGAAGGCCCACAGTGTGGGGACCTCATTCTGCCAGGCAGGGCCACTGGGTGCCACTGTGCCTGTCAGGAGGGCTGTGGAGGCTGGCTGGCCTGGGTCACTGTCTAAAGGGCCTCAAGTCAGGTTGGTGACCGTGTCTCTAAGCAATTACAACGCAGGTGTGTGCGTGCGCGTGTGTCTGTGTGAAGTGTGAATTTAAGTCTTGATATAGTTATACTGAGACTTGGATCAACGTTCTGTAAGTGCATTCTGCCATTTCATTGTATTTGGACAAACAGGGCCCTACAAGAGAAGCTGCCCAGGCCTACTCGGCCCGACACACACCTGGCGATGAGAGCAGAGGTGGCCCCAAACCGCAAGGACAGTCACCCAAGGACACACTCACCGAACAGTGCTCCGCCTGCTGGACTCTGATCCCCAGGATCTTCTCTGAAAGCAGCTTCAGAGACGGTCTCCCACTCTGCAGGAGAGGATATGGTGTGGGTGGTGTGTGGGCGGCTGCATCTGTAGGCCTGGGCCGGGGGAGGCTCAGCTCGAGGTGGGGCACGACCTGGGCAGGGAGGGGCCGAGTACCACGCCCACGGGTGACTGGCAGCTTGCCTTTCACTGGAAGGGTTCCTGGCATTTCAGGCTTGAATCTTAGCTCCGCTCGGCCAGGACGCGAGAGCAGGCCTAAGGGGGCAGCAGAGCCCCCCCCCCATGGTGACCCCACCAACAGGGGTCGGGGTCTCCGCCAGGGTCACATGTGATGAGATTCCCTTTAGTTTTAGAGGTTAAAGGAAAAGACAGAAGCGCTCTAAGTGGGAAGCCAGCCCCCCGGGTCAGCAGGGCGTGCCGCAGCCCACTGAGGGCAGAGATGACCGACGTGTGCTGACTGACCTTCACGCGACGCTTGAAAGGCTTGTACTTCTGTGTGTCCCGGATCTTCTTTTTTGGGTGATCAAGAAACAACACCTAGAAGAAAATGATAGGAACTAGCAGCTGGTGTAATGGCTGTGTCGTTGCACTCCCATGTAGTCGACAGATGTCTGAGTCCCAGACCCAGCGGCTTAAACTCATACTGGGCGTGTGCGTGCGTGCCCAAGGTCCCCAGAGGAGAATGGAGAAGGGATTGTGGCGTGGCCATCCCCCCTGGGGGTGATTTCTTGCTTTCTGTCTCTCTGTGTCTTTCTGGTGAGCGCACGCACCCTATAGCAAAAACTTCTCCAAAAAAAAAAAAAAAAAAGAGAAAATACAATGATAGTTTTTTTCCATTTTCGGTTTGTATAGCAGAAGCCTTCCTTTTTACCCCAAGTAACACCTGACAGGAAATCTCAATATACAGGGGAACTTCTAAAAACCAGGATTATAGAACGAGTTCATATTGGTCTGAAAAACTTGAAATATATGCAGTTTTTGCTTAATTCCCATTTTCACGAACTTTTTAAAGGACCCTCCCCCCATATGACACACAAACCCACATGTGGGTTAAAAGCAGAGGTAGTTGAACTTCTGAGAGAGTGGGCTCACGGTACTGCCCAACAGTCAGAAACACATCAAAACCCTGACACGCAGACACAGGAGGTGGGAGGTGAATGTCACCAATTAACCAGCAACCGGCTTCTGCATCCCACTGGCCCCACGCAGTGGGAGGCTGGGAGTGGCCAGGCCTGTAGCGGCTGGGTCCAGGAGCCGCCTTAGCGCGGTCTGTGAGTCTGCCCTACTTACTGAGCAGAGCCAGAGTTAGGAGGGAAGGCCGGGGACCTCAGTGGCAGTCTCCAAGGCTTGAACAATGCACAGGAGCAAGCGGTGGCTTTGTCGGTTTTCAACAGTTAAACATTTACCTTGAAAGGATTTCTTCAATGGCCAGAGAGCACTTGCACTCACCAGAGATTCGGGGAGAGAGAAAAGCGCTCCCCAGCAGTGTGGTCGTGCCAACACCCCTCCTCCTCCTTCCATCCCACCAGGGTGTGGGGTCTGCACACGCGGCCCAGCATGCTTTTCAAGCCAGACTGAGACTCGTACCATGGTGGACCACGTGGGATCTGGCTCCCCTTAATCACTAAGGGCCAGTCTTTAAAAGGAAATGAAAACTTGTAGCCAGCAGGTGGCATGGTAGTTAAGGTGCCGGACTCCCACATGACCAACCATGGTTCGACTCCCAGACCTAGGGGCAGCTTGAAAATCATACGGGGCACACATGTGTACATGCCCAAGATCCCAGGAGGAGAAGGGAGAAGGGACTGCAGCATGACCATGGCCCCTGGAGGGGGTACTTTCCCTTTCATTGTCTATCTCTGGTGAGAACCTGTGCCCTACGGCAAAAATCTAAAAAGGAGAGGAAATTAAAATCAACATCTGGAGGTTTCTGAGACAATCTGAGGACTCCAGGGAACACAGAACAGCCACAGTACCATGGGCCCCAGCCCAGGAGAGAGAGCCCCCACTCCGTCTGCCCAGGCAGCTCTAATCACAGAGACCCTAAGGAGGCAGAGGTCACTGGGAAGCCACACGCTCTGGGCTCTGGAAGTGGACCCTGCCTCCCTGAGCTTGCCCACTGCTGCCCGCTGAGCTGGCTGACACAGGCCTGTGAGGACGGAAGCGAGTCCAGCCTGGAATGGCCTCCTGCAGACAATTCCCCACCCATCCAAGCCCAGTACAAAGGAGCCTCTGCATCCTGATTCCCAAGAGGCCCTAAAGGCCAGTACCTTTAAATCATTATGCAGCGCGTGTCCAACCAGAATCCTGCCCTTCAGAATTTCTGCTACCTCCTTCTGAACAACTTCGAATTCTTCTCCTGAAATTCAAACAAATAAGAGGCTTTTACCAACATGTAAATCACTGTCAGACCTCAGGTCAGGCCCACGCGCCATGCTGAGGAGCAATGAAGCAGCCCTCTGCCCCGAGGGCCCTTCAGAGGAAGGATGTGAGCACCATCTCTGGGGAGGAAGATGGCACCGGGGCTGGCTGGGCCATGCTGCTGGCGACCACACTGGGGCTGGCTGGGCTATGTTGCTGGTGACTGCCTGCAAGCCTGGCACGCTCCCTACCCGAGGGCACGGGTCCAGAGCAATAGCTCTCAGAGCCCGGACAGAGCAGTTCTTTAAATATATATATATATATGTATGTATTTTAGAGAGTTTTGCTATAGGGCACAGGCACTTGCTGGAAAGAGACAAAGACGCTAAGAGAGAAACTGAGAAATCACCCCCAAGAGGGGATGAGCACACTGCAAACCCTTCTCCTCCATTCTCCTCCTGGGATCTTAGGCACACACGCACACAAGCCACCTAGCACAGGAAATGAACTGTGGCCAGCCACGTGGGTGTGCAGCAATATAACCACTATGCTATCTGCTGGTCCCAAGCAGGGGGTGCTGTGGTCAAGCCACACACAGAACTCTGCTCTGAGGGTGGCAGGGTGCTGGGCAGGTGTGTGCACCAGAAAAGGGAGAGGCTGTGGTGTGCAGAGAGGTGACAGGACTGTATGCGTGGACCGAACCCCCAAGGTCTCCAGGTCCACAGGCAGATCCATCCCGGACGGTCTCCTCTACCCCACAAGCAGATTTGGTCTGCATCTGTCTCCAGGGCGATTCCTTCCAGCCCCCTCCCCAGCCCAGATCAGCAGCCCTGGCCTCGTCTTGCCACCCTCAGGGGCCTGCAGTCCGTTCTCAGTGCCCCAGCCCAGCCAGAGGGAACCGAGGCCTGCCCAGGCCTTTTGCAGCTCACGACCTTCCTGGAGTGTCCCAATGTCCTCACGGGGGCCGTGAGCCCCCTCCTCAGGCCCCCTCCCTGGTCCTCTAACATACCCCACCTTGGTCTCTGCTGCCGCCTAACACAAAGCACCTCGCGGGCACAGGGCTGGTCGCGAGGTCGGTGACTGGTGGGCCCCTGCCGGAGACCCCACTGGCAGAGAGGCACATGCCCGTAGCTCTGCTGAGTGCTCCTGAGCAGATGGCGAGGGAGGAGCCAACCCGCTGCCGCCCTGCCTGCCCGGCTCGTGAGCTGAGACGTACCCTGCCTGAGGTGCTCAGGCCGCACCCCACTGACCGCTGTCCTATAGTCCGTCACAGGCTCGGTGGGCTTGACGTACTTGTCGTAGACGCACTTCCCATGCTGGTTCACGACAGACACGCGGGCGGCAATGCTCTCCTCCCCTTTGGGACCCACGCCCACCATCTCGCAGTCCAGGGCCACGGCTCTCGTCAGGCTGAAGGGGAACCAAAGGCTCCAGTTTAGCATCCTCTGCAGCCCCAGGATGCCAGGCCCGACCCCAAGGGGCCCTTGGGCTTGAGTGTGCGCAGAAAGGCCCTTGCCCAGCACCCTGTGAACCGTGTGAGGGCCCTAGGGACACAGGGCTTGGTAGGACCCTGGGAGCGCGCCCGATCAGCAGGAGACGAGTGCCCTCTCCCGGAGGAGCCCCACCCTTGAAGGCAGCACGCGCAGCATACCCGCTGAAGGCCTGCTCCTTCTCCAGGGTGAGGCTGTGCTCTTTCTGCCCCAGCTGTTTTCTCGCTACCTTGGCTGCCTCTGGGCCTATGGCAGCTTCGATATCCGCAGGGTCCACGTCATCAAACCAGATGTCTTCCCTAAGAGGCCAAGACAAGGACTGACCTCAGTGGGTCCTGGTCTGACTGCTGGGGTCAGACTTGGGGGCGCTGACGGGCTGGGTGTGTAGGGGATGCCGTGGAGCTGCCCCGCTCACAGCTGCCCCGCAGGCCCCCGCCACTGGCCCAGCCGTCCTTGCTGTCCCAACCGGCTCAGCGCTCTCTTTAATTAGAAAATAAGCTCATTTCTGAAATTCAGGAACTCAGATCAATGCAAAGGACATCCACTGGAAACCAACGACCCACCACCCTAGGATGGCTGCTGAGGTCTTTTGGTAGGTTTGTAAGCAATTAGGAGACAAGCCAACTGACGATACGGAATGTTAACACTGAACCTCACCGGGGACAAAGGCCGCTAGCTCCCCACACCTCGCCGCCGCACTCGGATGCTCAGGTTGTAGTGGATTCCGTCTCTCGGGCTCAGCTCAGGAAAACACTTGCAACCCAACCAGTAGACACGCTTCTCTGGCCACCTGCTCCTACAATGTCCCCCTCCGTGGACGTACCCTGACCACACACAGGGAATTATCAAGATAATGGAGCTTACTATCCATCCCCGCTGCTTGAATAAAGCGGGGGTTGGGGCTGGGACAGGCTGTCTTCTGCTTTAGCAACTGTGCCCTCGATACCCAGGCTGACTTATAAGCTCATGCCCTCTGCTGAGCCATTCGGAGCCAGCCAGGCCTCCTGGTCCTCCTCCCAGGACGGTCATCACAATGTTTATCAAATAAACACCAGGCACTGGGCCAAGCCTGTTTCATCTCCCAACTGCCCTGAGACACTACAGATACCTACGTGGGTGCTTGGGTGCTCATTCATCCCGCTCCGCAGAGCCCCAGCTCTGCTCCAGGCCCAGGACACAGCGACTGCAAACAAGCCCTGATCCCACCACGCCTGAGCTCTAGGGGCAACAGACACTCGCTAAGCAAGTAAGCACAGGTAACACAGGGCTACCATGACGCTGTGGGGGGCCACTGGCTCCACGGCCTCCCCAGGCCTCTGTTGGTGAGGGAGCTGTGCCTCCGCGGTCCTCCCACCCTGCGCAGGTGTGGCTGGACACTTACTCTGTGGGTAGGGCCCGGGGCGCAGCTGCAGCCTCCTCCCCGGCTTTCCGCTTCTTATGCTTGATGTCTCCTCTGTTCAGAGAAATGCCACCGTTTGTCCCTTTCCTGGCTCCCTTGACCTTTGTGTGGGGGACTGGCACCTTCCTGTCCTCAGGTCCTGAAGGAGCTGAGCCCCCGGTGGCCTCTTGGTCTCTCTCTGTTGGCGTCGCAACACCCTTCGCTTTAGCTGAGATCTCTCTGTTCTGCGGGATAATTCCCGGCTGCTGTTTGGAACCCATCTGAGAGATGACGAGAGACTTTCTGCAGGTCTGTGCTTTTTGTTTCAGCAGCTGATGGGACCCAAGAGAAGAATACATGCCACATTTTAATATAGACACGATACACCAGATGGAAAAACCTGCAGTAGGTCACATATGTATGTATACAGACATATACCAACACGTTTACGTGTACTTCTTCTTTTTTTTTTTTTTTTTGGAGAGGTTTTTGCTATAGGGCGCGTGCGCTTGCCAGAAAGACAGAGAGAGATGGAGAGACAGAAAGCGAGAAATCACCCCCCGGGGGGATGGCCACACTGCAATCCCTTCTCCTCCATTCTCCTCTCGGGATCTTGGGCATGCATGCACACGTGCCCAGCGTGAGTTTAAGCCACTGGGTCCGGGACTCGAACGGCGGTCGACTACGTGGGAGTCCAGTGACGTAGCCATTACGCTAACTGCTGGTCCCTACGTGTACTTCTGAAAGCACCACTGGGAGCCCTTTTCTGGTGGACTGGAGAAGTCCTTTCCAATCGCAATCATACGTCACCTTGTCCTTGTGCATCTCAAAATGCCCACTTTTACATCTGCCCCTCCATTCTGATGACAATTCACATTCACGTCAGTGCATCCTAAGTGTCTCTGTGGGGAGACAGCACCAACCGCAGACCAGGTCGCTGCTGAGTTGACCAGAGTCTATTTCACTCTCTGGTTGACTTAGAGTTAGTTTAAAAAAATGTAATTGTTTTATTTAACTTACTTTCTTTATTTTTGACCAGAGAGGGACACAGTGGCAGGGTGTGAGAAAGCAAGCCACCAGGTCCAGGACTCGAACCGTGGTTGGCCATGTAAGAGTCCGGCACCCTTAACCACCACGGGACCTGCTGGCCCCGACTTGGAGCTGATTTTAGACTGGCCTTCCTCTCAGCGGTGGCCCACACTCAGGCACGTGGAAACCACTTCCTGTACAGGGCCTCCCGGTTTGCTGCCGCTGTGTCGCAGGTGGCAAGGAGCTGCTAGCGGCCACAGCTTGGCTCCCGCCAGTGGAGCTGGACGGTCTCAGGCTCCAGCTGCTTCTGTGCTCATTCCCCAGTGGGCCGGGTCCAGCCCCGTCCAGAGCCTGGCCTGTGCCAACCAGCTGGGAGAGGAGGGGTGGACTCCCGTTTGTGCAGGGAGACTGAAGGGCTCTTCCTGCGTAGAGGAAAAACTCGGGGCTGTCAGTCAGCAGCCCTTTCAATCACTTGACTTTGCTTTACTTTCTTGGGGTAAGAGCACTGGGTTGCCCACGGGGACCCAAGGCAGGGCAGTAACAGGTCCTCCATGCTCAGCTTTTGGGGCAGGGGAGCCCTCAAGGCTTGCTTTTGTTCACTCAGGCTCCACGACACACTCAGGAGGTGAAGAGACTTTGAAAGCCAAGTGCCGCGAAGAGCACAAATCCCAGCCGGAAGGTGCGGTCTGCATCCGCATCCCGGCCACGTGCCATCGGCACTCCGTGGCTCTACCTCCTGCTCCAAAAGGGGGTGTTCACGGCAGCTACACCCAAGAACCAGTAAAGTACTTCTGAGGAAAGCAGTGATTGCAGAGCCATGACACACAAGGGGGCCACGCCTGGGTTTGGGGGCTGCATCGTGGCTGCAATCCTGGAAACTGGTGTCACCTCCCTGGCCAGTCTCAGATGGTGTCAGTGTCGCTATGGGGACCACACGAGTGCATACTCAGACGTCCACAGCGTGTGATGGTTAGACTTAGGATGGCTCAACTTCAGGGTGACAGTGACAGGCATTTACAGGAATCTGTGCCTCTGGTACGGGACAGCCAGCTTGTCTTTCCTTCCCCAAAGGTTCTCCCGTCACTGAGCCGGCTGGAGCCAGGTGACTGCCCAGCTGCGGTGCAGAGCCCTCAGGGCGGCCAGGCTAGGTGTTCCCCAGGGTGCGGAGCCAGGGTGCGTTCAATGCACTGCCACTAGCATTCCGCTTCCCTGGGTGTAGCCCGCTGTCGGTCAAGGACACTGCAGAGACCGCAGGGCAGTCCCTGCACATCTTAGAGGCCAAGAACCGGAGGCAGCCGTTACAACCACCTGCTTAAAAACCGCCGGTATTGCTAGACTCGTCTACCTCCCGTGCCAGCTACTTGCTGGCCCGGGGCTGGCTCCCTCCTGCCACCGGCCACCTGGTTGCCAACCCCTCTGCTCAGTGTTGGCCCCGAATCTGTCCCCACGGAACCTACAGAGCCACCGAATCTTACCTCCTGCAGCGCCTTCCAGTTCTGAGAAAAATCTGCCGGAGCCTTGGGGGGCCGCGCCACGACGGCTGTGGAGTCCCTCCCCGGGCTCCGGCCTCCTCCCTGCGCTCCGCGTTTCCGGAACCCTTTCTTCCCCGAGCTTTTCTTCCGAGGGAGCTTCCCGACAAGACCCCGCCTGGTCCCGGCGCTGCTCGGGGCGCGCCCGCG